GGGGACAACCCCAATACTTGAAATGGCGCGCGCTTACGGTCTCCGTCCCCGATTATGGCTCCTGATTATAATTAAAACACTTGAAAAGTTGGAGTTTCTAAATCGAAAAACTTTTGCGCAACTTACCTTACCGTGTGTCCGACTACAGCACAAAGTGAAACAGGAAGTTGAATATTAAGTAATTTAAAACTCTGAAGGCCCTAGCGAAGTTTTAAATAAGCGCTTTGGATTCGTAACTGCGCACTGTTTTCCCATCAGCATAAATGTTTTTGTCGGTTATACTGATATCAGTTCTTGCCGCCTACAGTACCTTAAAACGTCTAGGCGTCTTAACTCAAAAAATCTAAATTTTCACTAAATTAATGATACAGACAGATAACGTTTAGCAATTTACTTTTATCTTACCTTGCTCAGTTTCTTGTAAACGACTAAGTGAAGGCACATGTCCACGTCATTTCAACTTTCCTTTCAAGGCGCGTGATTATCTCCGTGGGAATTGACACTCTGATGTTCCTTTTTGGTTTGGCGATGTACGTTTGTTATTTGCATGTTTTCAGAGCATTCCACTGACTTAAAATACCCACCCTTAACATCGCCTGTAGCTTCTTCTACAACTCCAAAAGCGGCTTGTCTTAAGTTTCCAGATGTATTGAATGTCGTTATTTTTCTTATGGAGGCTCTGAATCCATCTCAACATATATGCATCGGTGTTTTTCCGGGTACTGTTTAATTACGTTAGCGGTATCAGCATTGTGAAAACAATGAAAAAATAAAAACAACAAAAAAAGGGTGGTGAAATACTGAGTAAAATTAAATGTATCGCTGGTTATTAATTCATTATTTTTTTTGTTTAATTAATGAAATTATGATAACCAACTAAAGCCTGATATTTGTCAAAAGACAAAATCCTAGGATAAGCTACTTAGACTTACAGACCTATAAATTGAATTGCATAAAAGAAGACAATTTCCTCATTTAAACTGCAATTTGATGCAGAAAACCACCGTTGTCCAGCCGCCAATGCCCGTGATGTGAACCGCCAAACCAAAACTAATGATGTCAAATTATAAATAAATTTCTGCAAATGTAACTTGTAGACTTACTATTTTAAAAAAGCTGAATCGTGTATGCAGCTTTGTAACTATTGGTTTCTTGAAAAACTTCACCGTTATAAGAGTCGGGCTTCTTACAGTATATGATAGCAAACGAGGTATTAATTCTTTTTCCCTTTGTTTCCTGTTTTATTTTACGGCGACATGATCTAAATTGCTTTCGATCATTTTTTCTATAAAGGAATTGTTTGAGCAACCTTGATGCTTCTGCTTGGTTTCGTGATGTGCGTTTGTGTGCATATTTTTGGAGCATTCCTCTGACTTAGATACACATCCTTAACATCACCTGTAGCTTTCTCTTGATCTCTGAAAGAGGCCAAAGTCTTAACTTTTAAATATATTTCTAACTCTAGTTATGCTTCAGATGCGGAATAAGTGAATTTCGCGCTCTCTCTAGCCATGTTAACATGATACTTCTCTTTGGTTTGGTGATTCGTGCTTATTATATTACGTGCATTGTTTTGGAGTATTCCGTCAATACAAACCCTTAATACCACCTGTGAGCGACTAAGCTAGGTCTTAATTTCCAATCATTTTGAATGTCGTTCTCTTTCCGTAAAACATAGAGGTTTTGAATTCATTTCCCCATTTCAATGTTTTAATCGGTGCTGTTTAATTTCTTTAGTTGTACGCGCCATTTGTGAGAAAATAAAGTTTGAAATACAGAGTAAACCTAACCGTATGGCTGGTTATCGATTTTTTTTTATTTTTGTATAGCTATTGTTGATCTGCTTGCCACTGACAAGTCACGAGATTTTCCTCGACCTCATCCAATAATTTGTAATTATTTGTCTTCCCAGGTAACAACAGCCAATAATAATTCTGTAAAACGAGAAGATCACGTCGTCTTTTCACTCGAGTTGTTATTAGCTAGCGATGATTTTCAGTATCAATCTTTATTTTTTTTTCTCAATTTAAATGAAAAATTGTAACATTTTTAGTTTATTTTAATAAAAAAAAAATATCTGGTATGTTTTAGATGAGGTAACTGTTATAATCTTGTTTCAATGCTACTGGAGACTAGTCGTCCTCAGCGACTACTAGAACAAAAACGCTGTTGCTTGCTGTCACAGGAGGACCTCACATCAACTCACATGCAAGCTCCTTGTTGTGTGGTAACCATTTAGAATTTTAATGCGTCATCTGGTTCGAGAACTGGAACTGGAAAATATTCGCAAAGCGTTTGGAACTGCACGATCGGATGTCTCGAGAATTATTCTTTCGGCCTCCCAGATGCCGTAAGTTTTTAGGTACAGACCATGTATGAGGTGACCGCGTATTGAAAATTCAAAATAGCCACCACGATACCGAACACGCGTTGTCTCTTTCATTGCTCTTCTAATTTGATTTCAAGTCTGTGTGTGTGCTTACGAGAATTTAAAAAGCAACTAAACTTGTTTTGCGGCGCATGGAAGCGTAGCAAGACTTTCTGACATGTTGCGAAACTAAATTTTGCCCACCGTCTCAGCCGTGGACTGAATAAGAAACAAATCGTAATAGCTAGGTTCGAAAATGGCCTAAGACGTCCTTAATATTCTGCTGATAATCTGGTTATCGCGTTTATTTATAGCGATGTTTGGTGTACGCACATTTTTGGGGATTATTACGTATACTTCCGTAGAAAAGCCCGAGTTGAAGAACGCAAACCATTTTGTCTTGGTCGGGGTGGGGAGGAGGGGATATTTCTAACGGAGAGCGCGGAAACTGGGGCTCAGAATTGTGAAAGCTTTTTATTCGTGAATTCGTGAGTTTGGCTCGAAATCTAGCCAAATAACCAAAGTTTATATTAGTTCTCACCGAGATAACAAGTGACCCTTAAATGAGTTCAAACTAGGATAGCACTGGCAGAACTTTGACCACTGACAAACTATGATCCTGACGCGAACACCTCAGATGTCGAAAACTCTTGTGTTAAAGTATCCTGATTTTTTCATTTGTTGTGATTGTGTTTAATACTTGTGGAGCACGATTCGATATCTCTATACGAACCCTGGGATAATATTCTTGGAGCTTCTAATTCGTTGTTGGCTCAAAATAACACAACTATTGTCTTTGACAAGTTTTGGAGCCAAATTCAAACTTTGTTGGAAGGAAAAAATTCATTCTCTCCGTTTTTGCATCTTTTGTTATAGTGGTCAATTTGAATCCCTTTACGTGAATATGAATGCGGTCTCCAATTAGACTTCAATGCCTTTCCTGATAACATACATTTGACGTCAGGACAATCAAGTTCTTCCCGCCTGCTGAATCCTGATAGGTCAATTCAGATTTCAGAGACACCCACGTATGCAAGGGTCGCCTGCCTTTTTCGGAGTGTCGAGTTGCCCTGCATGACCATAGCGGACATTCAGTTTTTCCAAAAAAGGTACAAATTATGCGCTAGTGAATTACCCTTAACAACGAGGGTTAGTTGTGAAATTTTCCAGCAATGGCAAGACGCATGTGTGCTATTTCCTTTCTTCATCGAATGCTCAGAAGGCAATTTATGGGCTATTGAAACATTTAAAATTAATGTAGCGTGAATTCTCTAATGTTTAGGTTGTTACAAATTATAAATCAACGGAAAACGAATTGCCTTTCGCTTGTGTTTGGCAAATAATCATCATACGACTTAAGTTGTTAAATAGTAATTAATAACCAAAACCAATTCCTTCATTTTAAGCTTGCTTTATTTCTCCCACACCAACAAGCGAAGGATATAACTGAATAACAATAACATTCGAAATGTTATGAACCTTATACCTGTGAAATGACCCCTTGTTATGTTATTCCAAAACTGTGCCCCAGCCCACATTACACAGTTATAGAAAATTATCCCCACTTGTTTCTTGGCCGATCTGTTAACTGTAGATCTGCAATAGATATAATATTTCACATAGTGAGTGATCGCTTTTAATCCCCTAGGACTAATCAGTTGTCGCTGTAGTTTTGCTGATTATAAGATAATACTCAACTGATCTTCTGGGACACTTTTCTTTCGTCCAAAAAATTCCACTTTGATTTTTCGGACATTTAGGTGGCGAATAAATTAGCGCTTCTCGGAATTTCCGGAGAAGAGGATAACCAAAATTTTAAAACGAGAGTTTCCCTTAAAGTTGATTTTGCCACTTCTTGGGTAAGGTTAGTTTGTTTACTGTTTGCCCTCAATAATAGTTATATGGCAATAAAATGTCCTGCTTATGTTTACCTGCTTAACCAGATTGACTGACTCTGCTACTCCTTCAGTCCTGTTGAAGCAGATAAAACGTCACGTTTGTTTGTTAGTTAGATAACCTAAAGAAAAAAATGTCAGGGGTTGTGTTCTGTTACATGATCGAAAAGTTACCTAACTTCCAACAATTTTTCTTGAAAGTTCAGAAGCGACACTGGCTGATGCATCTGTTGTCTATAACAGAAACATTAAGCTATACCTCGTCCGTGACTGGAAATACTTACTCTGTGCACAGAAACGTACGAAGCTTAACGTTGCCGTTAATATGTGGGACCGTGGCATAGCTGGGAAAGCAACTTATAACCTAAAAGGAGAAATATATTACAGGTAGGTCTATTCCAAGACAGCTAAGCTATAAGCCTGCAGCTCGGTCCATAAGCGGTCAAAAATAGAACTGGACCAATATTTCTCGAATTTGAACCTAACGCTATATTTCAATAACATTGAGGTATTCTATTCGACTCCATTCGATTTAATTCTAGTACTATTTTATTCTATTCTATCCTAGTCTTATCTATTCTAGTCTATTTTACAGGTAATCTATTCTATTCTGTCTTTTCTATTCTATTCTATTCCATTCCATTCTATTCTAGTGTAGTGTAGTATAGTGCAGTCTAGTCTAGTCTAGTCTATTCTGTTCTGTTCTACTCTACTCTATTCTTTTCTAATCTACTACTTTCTATTCCATTATTTTATATTCTACTCTGGTAGATTCTTTATTCTTCTTTGTTCTTCTATTCGCTTTTCTTCTCTTCTACCCTGTTCCGTTCCATTCTGTTCGGGTCTATTCAGTTCCATTCTGTCTTTTACTATAGTACGGTACGGTACGATACGGTAAGGTATATTATATTTCAAGTTAAAAGGCTTTTCGAATATCTTGTAGTCCCAATGTGCAGTGTTTAACTTGTAGTTTTAGTCGTCCTTTATGGAGATTGTTTAAGATTTATAGTCGTTTAGCATGCCTAACCTCCACAGGCTAAAAACGTAAGCTCTTTCAGGGTAGAAACTCTTAATTTCAGTGCTAAAGCTTATGTTAAAAAGGTTTTCACTGATGTACGCCATTTTCTCCCGTGCATGTTTTGTTTCAGTAAACATCTTACCCACAAACGCGTTTAACGGGCTTGGTCAGTGAAGGTGCATTGCAGCGAAAACCCTACTTATGCAAATGAAGATTTCTAAATAGCGTTATAATCGTCTGATGATTTCTATTCTAGCTTGCAAACGCAAAATGATTTCGAGGCAAATTGTTCACCCGTCCACTTCCCTTTGGTGCAATTTACATTTTGTAGGATTGCAGTGCCGTACGTTATTCAAAAAAAAAAAAGGAAAAAGAAAAGTTAAAGAAAAAAACCCAACAAAACCAGTGGTTGTTATAAGGCTTGAGACAGTTACATCGAAAATGTTAATACTTCATACCTTTGCATGATCTCGCTTTACATTTCTTCGTTTCGCTGAATTTCCCCCGGCACGCCTTTCCTTTCCCTGAGGGTGGTGGATTGGTACATTGGCGGGTACGCGTTTTTTTCCCTTTACCACAAGTCTTACTACACGCACCGAACGGCGACCACAGAATGAACTCTCCATCGACTAAAATGGTGCAAAAACTTGGATCAGACACTTAACCTGCTCATCGATTTTATACTATGAGCCATTGTTATATTTACCAATGGCAGGCCATGACGTGACGCCATCGTTAGCAATATACTACCCCGAGCTTTTTTTGAATAAATTTAGATCTATAGAGACATTCTGAACAACAGCAGTAAAAAGCATGTCAAATTGAAAACTTTTAATAAGAGTAACGTAACCTCAATACTACGAGACGTGGTTCATTTTCCAGCCCTACTCGGTCCCGGTTGGAGATGATGGACACGTGACTAATTTGGTATTAACCTAGTACCTACAAAGTTGTAGCCCGAGCTTTTTTGTGCAAGAATAAAAACTGAACTGAACTGTAGCCTGCTAAACATGCACAGAGGTTCGCCACGCAGTCATGGGTAAGGAAAGCTTGGGTGACGAATCCAAAGAGCGTCTGGGTAAGAAGCTAACAAGATTGTACTATCCTCAAAATTCTGGAAAAGTGATGATCAGACACTTATATACAATATCTTTACTCACCATCACAAGGCTGAGTATTGCAATCTTCAACCTCCTTGTCGATCCCCACGCAATCCTTGCCGCCATTTTCTGGAGGGGGGTTGGTGCAGGTTCGTGTACGCTCCATGATGCCCCCTCCACAAGTCGCGCTACACTCGCTCCAGGTTCCAAAGTCACTCCAACCTCCGTTTACTACCAATAATAAAACTACAAGTGTTAAAAGTAACTCTACAAGAGTCTAGTTTCCCGTAGAATCTAAAAAAGCCATTTTCTTTTACCAAGAACAAATTAGTAGGAATAACGTACAAAGCCACTGAAGTCACGGTTTCTTTACTGTTGTATCGTTGACATTTCACCCTCTCAACAGGGTTTCGGTAAGCTGAGTGATTAATTGGCTTATCACTTTCAAGGTGACAGTGGCTTGATTATTCACAACGAATTCTAAGAACTGGCATTGCAAGACATATCTGAGAATCATATCCAATCAAATTTGTTGTAGTTTGTCTGTTTAGCGATGAGCTGTGGTTCTGAAGCCAAATTGGCTCTTGACTACTCTTACCAATAGATCGGAAGAAAAAACCCACCTGACGTGGAATACAGCGTTGAACTTCTTTTAGGAACAAGTCGAATCACAGCCAGAAGATCTCCAAGGGATTTAACTGATAGCCGAGTAACTTTTGCTGGGCTTCAATTGTAACAGTTTAGAAGTCGCCGAAAAATTAAGAGATGATAGACATTGACGCACACCCTGCCAGAACCTTATCTTTGTCATATCTGACATGCCAAACTTACACTGACTAAATTTCTTTCCAGGTGGAATAAAGGGAGATGCCTCGTTTACCCGAGGAGATATTCTTCTTGTTAATATAGAGGGGAATAAAACAAACAAGCGTCTAAGATTGCTTGAATTACTCCTACATCTGAGATTGGGATTACCTGCATAACTTGAAGGTAAATGCGAGTGACTCAGTTTCAAGGTTATTTTAGAGTGTTTTTCGGTTCCATGACAGTTCCCCATCAAGTTAATAAATTATGTCAGACAAAGGACGTTTTCTGATAGTCTAATGACCGTGAAGGCAGATGTCATGAAGAACATCCCTTTCACAGATATGAACATTTACGATGAAACTAGTATTACGTACTTGGCGAGAGTGGGATTCGCACAGAAATGTCACAAGGTCCCTCCCCGCGGTTGTGTTGTACTAAACTAATCCATGGCGTCTCCTGCGTAACCAACAAAAGCAAGTGATCCTCTGAAGTCTTTTAAGATGGGATCAGTGGCACCCAGTCTCTTGAGGGCTTCCTCGGCATCTGTCACGTATTTTGAACCTTCATCTTGAATGGTGACCAGAACGATGATACTGTAGTGACAGATAGGTAATCAATTAATTGAGAGTTTATGAAACTGACGTTACGCGATAGGACCGAAAATTGAATTTTCTTTTATTGGGTTAAGGGACCCTTTTCTTGAGCTGTATTACTATTTTTGTGAACTAGTTTTCAGAAGAAGTCTCAGCGAGTTTAGATATTTGTGAAATCTAGGAAAGTTTAGAATATCGGTCGATCAACCAAAATGGCCGAGGAAATTAACGTTAAAGAGGGCAATTTCAACAGGCAAGTACAGAAAGACGGAAACTTGCCCTGATTACATTTTTACAAAGATTTTGAACAATGCTTTGATCATTTCTTTGAACTAAATATCTTGTAAATTAGAAAATGTTTTTTCTACCTTTAATTCGTTTAAAAATATTAACTATCGCGTTGAAATTTATCAACAAAACTTCAATTGCTTTGACAGGCTCACAACTCTACTAGTATTCGAATATCTAGTAAATAATAAACAAGTTTCTAAAAAGGGATTATGCTGTGGGCTTGCTGTTTTAATTTTGTAAATTTTCACTTAAGGGCAAGACGAAGAACTATGAAGGACAGTTTGACAAATTGACGGCTTAATCTTAGTCACATTCTGATCAACATAATTCAATGTGTCATAACTTAAGACAATCTTGCGGATAGCGTATCTCAAGAGCAACAAAAAATGAAATTGGTTTAATTTAAACATTTTTTTGAAAAATGGTGTACCAAAAGCATCTTTTGAACAGACTAAAATAATTTTTAGCCATGTTGAGGAATTCTCCATATTTACGGACACACTCCGCGTAAGTGCTGCTTTAACCGCATAGATAACGACAACGTATTTTTGCCATATGTTTATTACAAAACGTCTTGTATAAATTCTTCTTTTACTGGTTTCCCTGTTGCTTAAGTCAATGGTCAGTAAAATTTAAAAATATCCCGGTGTTAGATGAGCTTTGGTGCTCAAAATTGCAAATGTATCTATTAAGATAGCTTCAATTTAAAAATTAATGTTACATTTCTGCCTCGTGTCCACGTGACGACACGGGGTAATAGAATGAGTTCGGAAATTCCTGTGTAAGACATTCCTGTGTAACCATTTTTTGCGTTCCTAATGTAAGATTCCTGTGAAGATAGTTAGATAGATATGGGTCAGGCAACTCGCGGGTTGATCCGTTTTGGCTACCAAAGACGGATACAAAACCCACGAGGAATTGACTACCATTGACGGCGTTAGGTGCTACTGATTTTGGAAATACGAGTTTGAAACACGCTGTACAGATTTAATACACATTATTTATTTATTTATTTATTTTATAAAGGGGACTGGGATGTAGATCTATTTGTGACTGGCTGCTTTTAGTATTTGTTTTGTTATTTTCCGAGCGCTTTATTCACGCAAGTCGCTTGCGTTTAAATAAAATTTGATAACAAATAACAGGCTCAAAATGTTGAAGTAACGGGTTTCAATCTTGCAGAAAAATCTAAAGGTGGCAATAGTGGATTAATAACTAACCTCTAAAGCGCATTTTTGTTTTTTTTGCGAATCAGCAAACAGGTTTCTAACTCACAAAAATTAATTGTTAGGTCTATGATAAATATGTTACTGTATATATACTACCACGGGTCAGATCAGGATCGAATTGCATTCGTAATGTTAGGTGTTATTGATTTTGGAAATACGAGTTTCAACCACGCTGTGCAAATTCAAGAAAAATCTAAAATTGACAGTGAAAAGAATTAAGAACTAACCTCTGAGGCGCATTTTCTGCGAATAAGCAAACAGGTATATAACTCAGTCCACAAAAATTAATTGTTAGGTCTATGTTCAATATCTTGTCAGTTATTGTTGCATGAATGAGTAAATGTTTGTAGTATGGTTGCATTTCTTTCGTTCTTGTTTGTTTCTCTGTCTTATGGTTTGGTTTTATTTTAGTTTGGGTTGTGCTGCCAGAGAAATAAATAATTAAGAATTCATTTCCCCTTGCGCACCTTGGGTATGAGATGACAGATAGCCTTTGAGATGAAATATGTACGAGGGGATGACAACGCGAAGCGAAAATTAATTCATTTACAGGAAGTCAAGGGCATTTCTGAGGGTGAACTGGGTCGGTTGTTAACCTACTCATCCAACGCTGTTTTGGTGAAAAATCGCGCAAAATCCATGTTAAGAGTTCCAAGCGGTTCATGTTCGATGCCGCCATTTGGAAAGTTTTTCTCTTGTTGACATTAATAACATGACATTAAAGATAATTTGTAAAAACTTAATACGAGAATTTATATGTTTGATGGCACCATTCCACCTTAAAAATACCCACAGCAAGAAATTGTAGCTAATGCTACAGAGAGGGAATAGGTTTCTGTAGGGATCACGTCATGACCATAACGTTTCCTTTTGATACCCAGTTGGAACGTGCGTAGATGCAACAAATGGGATTAGAATGGATATCTTTTCACTATCTTTCAGTGACGAAAAGAAAACTAGTTTATTAAAAAAATCGAAAGAGTGAAGTAAATATTTGGATGTTACTCACTCTCCTGCTATGGAATTAAGGAAGTCTCTCAGGTTTTTACCAGCATTTTCATCTCCGTGAGTATCAAACGCTTTTGCATCAAGCACGTCACCTAGATAGATGTGTAAGATATTTTGCATTAGTATACTGACCAAAATGCACAGATAAACGAAATCGTACATTTCTTTTGTGCGAAAAAAAAATAAGCAATAAAACTAACAGCTTGGAGGAAGAAATAATGTCAAAGGACAAATTTGCGAAAATGTTTTTGAAGCCAGTTTCTAGAAGTATCTGAGCGGATGTATAGCCCTTCAAATATCTTATAGAAGAGGATCTTCTCGAAAGCGAAAACTCTATTCCGTCAGTCTTGAAAACTATTACCAGTCAATTTGAAACATTTCTGGTTGAAATTGTCTGAGCTTATTTTATACTTTTTAGTTTAGAACATAGGACTATTAAAACTACGATAGCCAAACTTTTTTAAGTTACCCAAACATTATCTGGCATGGGAGACTAAAATATGTTTTTTTTGTGATTTTCGAGAATCTTAATGCCCTTAAACATTTCGTGTTACTATTAATTTTTTAGTGTGGGTTGTTTTATGACTTTTCCAAGCAAAAAAAATCTTTGACGTCAGTTTGGAAAGAAATGACATCATTATTGGTATGTGGGTGCTAATAATAATAATAATAATAATTAATGTTTGTCCCTTTTTGCACGCGGAACAAGCACGTATGCTCCTCGGGGGTATGGAAAAAAAAAGAGTTTTGTCTCCTATCGGTCAACAGCCCATTTGAATAATTAATGTGATTAAATTATTCGCCTTTAAACTGATCGTCGGACCCTTGGACTTGAGAATACCTGTTGAAGCGCTCACAACAACAACATTGTGGCCCCTGCCGTGAGGTGACTTGTCTACCCCATCTACATAGGTGTAAGCTATTCCACAAGTCTCTGGTTTTTTTATCAGCGTCGTCGCAACCCTCACTGCGGAGACGAATGCCTACAGAGGGACCTACAGGATAACAAACGTATTTCGGAAAAAAAATGAGTTATTATCTTCAGTTAAAATCATGTATTGTTACTTTATTTCTTTAGCTCTTAAAGTGGTACTATGATCAAATTTTTACTCCTTGATTTTTTAGGTGTATCACATAGAATTCCATGAAAGAACAAAAACCCCGTTTACCGTTAGCAAATATCTGCATTAGTTCCAGAGATATTTAAGTTTGAAAAATGAGTCAAATATGCAAATGAGACGACTGATGATGGCATACACTCAACCCAATATTATATCAAGTATATAAATACAGTTATCTTGGCCAACTTGCAGCACAGGCCATTGAAACTTGGTAGGCTAATAGCTCTAGAGGAAACACATGTAGGGCCATAAAAAAATCTGCTCCCATGGCAACTCATTCTTTTCCAGTTCCCACCCACTTGATTTCAATATGCTAGTGAATTTCAGCTCGAAAACCATTAACTGAGGCCACAAACTCGAGCTAACGTATTTATGTGCCTGCTGGATCATGTATAGGAGGTGCCATGAGCAAATATCAAAATGAAAGGCCAAAGGTGGCCAGAAAAGCCTTTAATATTGGGGAGGTCTGGAACCCAGTATGTTGCCATGGTAACAAAACTGTTCAGTTCGTACGTGGAGCACATTTAGTAGAATCTTACCGCAAAGAATCAAACATTTCTGACACAAATTGGCCTAGATACCTTTCTTCATCATATTTGAACACAATTTGGTTGAGTGTATGACGTCATCAATTTGCTAATTTGTATATTTTAAAAACTTGAATATCTCTTGAACGAAAAGAGATTTGAAAAGAGTAAAAAGCATTTTTCTTCTCATACAGACTACTCGTTTGTGTTTAAAAATGGCTTAGATAGGAAAGATGTGATTTTCGTCATAGTACCACTTTAAATACTCCTACATATGCGTTCTTTGTTCAATATTTTGAACCAGGAATTTTGCAAAGAATCAACTAGGCAGTGAATTGTATTGTTGAATATAAAACCGATATTAATTTTACGCTAAAACTAAACACGTATATTTAACAAATAGATTCCCTGTTGCCATGCGTCTGTTCAGTAATAGATCACAGATGACGTCCAAATGTGGTAAGGCACACTTAATGACACACTCATCAGCTATCGCCTCGTGTGCCACTGAGTGTATCATCTGTGATCTATTACTGAACAGACGCACGGCAACGTGGAATCTATTTGTTTTACA